TGCATTTGGAAGTTGCTTTTTTGTGCAAAAGTTGTGTTATGCTCCATGAAAAAAAGAAAAATTCCTACCAGCACGTGTAGGGATGCGTTCTATTAAGGGGTGCCATTCTGTATTCATCGAGTTACCTCTATCTGGTTACCTCCTTCATCGAGTTACCTCCTTCACTATCTGGTAATGCTACATTTCTGAAGAGTTAAGGCTCTCAGCTGAGATGTATGTTTGAGGCATGCATGACGCCATCTTTCAACAAGGTAATTAATGATCGCATGTTGTCCGCGGTGTCCTGATCTTTCTCGACAAAGAATGTGTTCGAGTGGGCTCTGGTTAGAAGGTTCTTTGGATCTCTCTAGTGCGAACATATGGTCATGGATTGGCACAAGACTATCATGCCAGTTACTACGATTACTGAACTCTAGTATAGAGGTGAAACAGCATGAAATGAATTACCCTTATGTCATCCAAGCTCACTTCGAGTCGATGCCCAGCCGGATTGCAGCCGTTGTGATTGTCAAAGGTAGCTGTTACCTGTACTGTATTCTGCACGCTTTGTTACCGAAATAACCCGCAAATTTAATTATATATTCCTTCCAGTATACTATATATGTAAAATAAATAAGATTCTGCCATTTGCTTTTCTTCCTAGTATAGCAATTTTAATAGCCAAAAGTGTGTATCATATTGTACACACACAGAGAGAAAAAAAGAATAAAAAATTAAAAGAAACGTCTACGGGAAACATTCAAATTTCACCGCGCAACAGAGATTGTTTCGTAATTTGTTCTGATACAATTCCCACAGCCTACGCAGTGCGTCCAGGGTATAACCGGCGATTTCCAACAGGATGTCTAGTTGTTTGTTATAAATGTTTCTTTCATTTGCAAAAAAGTCACATTTAGTTGTTCGAGGGAAAAGTAAAATAGTTTTCCAGGAAATGCAAATGTATGGCCGAATTTAATTCATCTAAGTATGTTGCATTCTTGTTTCTGCTACAATTTTTAGATTATGTATAAATTGACGCTGAAAATCAACGAATAGAATTTTGAAATATTTTTCAAAATGCAATTGGATCTTTGCATTTAGATTTCAGTTTATTACTGATACATATTTTTTTTAACCTAAGAGGAAAAGAAAAGCTGGATTTATTATTAACAAATCCATTGAAAATCCCCCTAAATTAAAAATATAAAAGAAAATAAATCAAAAGTTTTACGGATGGTGAAATGGCAATGTCTTATACAACTAACCATTTGTGAGGTTAAGTGGATGACAAACACTCTAGTAATGTAATGTGGGTCGAAGAATGGAAAGACAATGCCGCACAAACTTGTAAATTATAATATTAAAATATTTTTAGGTTTCTTTAGCATGACAGAATAAATCAAAATCCCATTACTGTCTATGTTTCCTGAAGTGCAAAGTTATGGGAAAAGAATAAATATAGTTTTAATATGAGAACGGTATGCGTGCAAACAGTTATAGCGTTTCAGATTAGAAAGGCTAATCAGTATCATTTCAAAAATTCTATGCTTATGGTATTGTCAAATAATAAATTGAAGGGCAGCTTTCATGAAAATTATTTGCACATCATGACGATAGTAACTTTTTTTAAAATATAAAATGAAAATATAGAACATCTCCTGCTGTCGATATAGACATAGAACATCTCCTCCAGTATCTGAAATATCGGATTAATCGAGCTTCTTTTCTAGAAAAAAATATCCAATAATAATCTATTTGTATGTTTTTAAAGCAGTGATATCGAGCTAGCAACCTGAAAACCGCATACGGACTTTAAAGTAATTTTTTGTGGCCCACGAAGACGGTTCAGTTATGTATTAGTTGATAACACGGATATTGCTTGAAATCCAAGTTTAAATTATTTAAATTTCCATTTAACTTTTATTATTATTTATCAAATATTTTGCTAATAAAATCGCTTTGTCTGAGATTACATTTATACGTGAATTGCTTTTTTTCACAGCTGAAAATAAGAAAAGAACCCGATTGATCAATGATCAACTGCAATACGTGATGAAGATAATTTCTAGTAATTTCTGAGTTTCTAGTAATTTATCAAAATTGAAGTGGCATTGAGTATCAAGTAAGAAATTAGGAAATTTATAATTATTTACAGTCGTGTACAAAAGTTTAAGATCACACATGGAAAAAACAGATTTATTGGAATTCCGCGACAAAAACATATGTTATAAGTGAAAAAAAAATAGATTTACGAGGTTATTTAAAGTATAGTCAGTATTTTGTCGGACCTTCTTTAATTTTTATCATTGCTGCAATCCTTTTAGGCATGCTATAAACAAGAGACTAGCAGTAAGCTTGAGAAATCTCTGTACACCACACATGTTTTATTGCTTTAACATGTTCTGTAGCACTGGATAGTAGCTTCTCCGCGACTTTATTGTGCACAATACGCCACAGATTTTCTATGGGATTGAAATCTGGGCTGTTACCCGGCCATTCAAGCATTTGGATTTGAGCAGCCTTAACATTATAGTCCTTAATATTCCTTGCCATGTGACACGGAGCCCCATCATGAATGAAAACTGAACATCTAAGTGAAGCTTCAACTTGTCACGTAACAAATTAAGGTACCCACTGCCATTCATCGTGGTTTTAGGTGGCAAGAAATATACAACAGGTATACCAGGCTCAGACATTGAACCCCATATCATCTGTCTTGGAGGGTGTTTCACTGTGGGAATCGTATATCTGTCATCATAGCTTTTTCCAAATGGACGGTGAATACATTTAGCACGTGCAGAAAACTGCTGCACACTTGACTCATCGGAAAATAACACTTTACTCTACAGTTGTTCTGTCCAATTTTGATACTGTCTGGTGAAAGTCAATCGCTCCTTTTTCATACTTTAAGTAAGTTGATGTTTCCTTGCAGGTTTATAGGAAATTAAACTATAATCTTTAGTCAAACGTCTTGAAATAGTACTCGAACTGATGTTGGTACCCTTTGCAGCCAGAGTAACTCTAATTTTATTGCAGGAGGTTGTTGGACTTCGAGTGATCATCCTTCTTATCACACGATCATCATCATGTACACAAGTTTTTCTTGGGCGACCGCTCCTCTTAAGATCTGTATAATTTCCCGAAATTTTGAATTTACTGATAGATAGATGCATGCCTGTTTTGCTGACATTTACCTTCAAACTTATTTCATGTTCAGAAAAGCCAACTTCATGTAGGGCCACTATTTTTGCCTGTTTTCCAACAGTAAGTGAAGGATTTTTACCCATTACAAGACTTATACAGCAGCACTGTATACGTAAAATCCAATAACGAAAACTACTGATAACTGAGACCACGTATGTTTATAGCAGTAGAAAGCGTTTGATGCAGTCAAAGCATGAGATAACGCAATTACGAGCGTAAATGGTGTAATCTGTTAAAGTACAGGAAAACGGCTACTGGTCTTAAACTTTTGCACGTCACTGCATATACAAACATATGCATTTTTATTGATGCTTTGGAGAAAAATTTAATAAATAAGAGAAAGAGATTAGGCTGTTATTATTTATTGTCAAGTTTCTTCCTGCTTAAAGTTTCTCTGAAAACGTAGAAAGTTTACATAATTTCTTTATTTTTAGTTACCAAAAATTATTTTTTAATGATTAATTAAGCATGTTACAATTATTTGAAATAAATGTAAGTCTAATAATTTAGTATATGACTGTCAATATATTTGAATTATAAAATGTATTCAACCAAATTGCATTGCAAGCATCAAATTTCAGATTTCAGTCAGAAAATAAATCAAATTAGAATTTTCTTTCATTAAGTATTATCATTTTTGTTTACACAGATTTTGATAAATATTTAGCAACCGAAATTTAAAATTAATTTTAAACATTTTTGTCTTTTGTTAAATTTTTTTTTTCATTGAAGTAAAGTCTGACCGGCCGACTGTTTTCAGGTCGTTCATTCGACCCGCATGCAATTTGAGTTTTTGAGATCACTGTAAAAATAATAAAAAGGATAATATAATATACAGCAGAAAATTTTAAAAAGTTATGAAGTTAATTTAGATGAGTGCGTATGATGTTTAAATACGCTATAATATTAGACAAACGTGTAGATTATTTACAGTAATGGAAAACAATGACACAACGGGCACAGAAGTATTGTGTTTTTCTGTTTATTCTGTGACTCATAATTACGTAAGAAGCTCTACTATTTTATAGTTTTACATGAGTTAAAATATAATGTCTTAGTTCAGTTTTAGTTGAATAAATAGGTTAGATTTTTCGGCTTTACGCAAATAAAAAAGCATTCTTTCTGTTACGGCCCATATGAACAAAAATTCATTTCATGTTATTATTTTAGTTGATATAGGAAAAATTTGCACATAGTAGCAAATTTTAAAATTGTTTTTACTACTATTGCGGTAAAAAAGCTTATTATGGAAATTAAATGTTTGAATTTTCTAATCTTATTTTAAACAAAATGCGACTAACGAAAACATAAGAAACCTCTACACTACTGCACATTTGGCTTTCGGAAAAAGAGAAGGGGAGAATAAATTTTCATGACTTTTAATTATTCTTAGACTATGAATAATTTCTTCCAGGAGTTTTTCAATTTTACTGTAGTTTTAAAATATATTTCCTCAAAATAATAACATAATTTTCATTAATGAAAAGGATGTATTTTTCTGCTATATTAGTAATGCACATCTGTTTAGTCTAAGGTATCTTCGAAACCTCTAATGACTAATTTTATTTACCTCTGTTATTTAAAAATAAAATTTAAAAGCAAAGTAATCAAATCTTTCTGGTAGTGAATATTAGCTTATTAATTATTTTTGGCGGATCAAACGAAGTTACCTACATTGAAGACATTTTTTTTCTTTCGATATTTTTTTAAACGAATTGAAAGGGTTTCACTACTTAGATTTTGTCCAGATTTAATTTTTTACACTTTTATCATTTTTAGGAGATTGAAACTGAAATTTAAATAAGGTTTTTCATTACCTGGTCTCATTCTTTTAGAGCAGAAGAATTTAGTTGTATAGGGCATTTGCAAACAACACTCATCTTCTGAACACTCTGCGTTAAGGTTGCACGCTCTAGCAATCTAAAGGAGAAAATGTTAAGCATTAAGTCTATAATTTTGTTATTTAGTAGAAAAGAAAATTAATCATACTATAACGTAGCACACAGTTTACGACGTGAAAAACGTTTCTTATTAACTATTCCAGCGACATGTGTATTTATAAAAAATTTGCATTAGATATACACAAATTCAGAGAATTATATTATAACAAAAGAAATAAAAATGAGAAGAGTTCTTCTTTAAGAGATGCTCTTCTTGAAGTACGTAATATATGGCATATATGGCATAAGAAAGTTTATTATAAATATAATAACTGTGAATAAATATAATAAATTATAAACTGTATTATAAATATAATAAACATTATAAGTTATTTTCTCCTTCCTTTCCTCTTGCCTTCGTGTTGTAATTGAAGCATGCTCGGCGCGTACTCGAGAGGTCCGGAATTCGAACCAAGGCGAGGGCATTGCGAATTTCTTCAGTTTCCAGACATTGAAAAATTCTAAGACTCTACAGTGGTTTCCGAACTACAAAGGTGGTGGACGATAACTTGTCCCCCCCAGGATTTTGCGATTGGTTTCCCTCATCCCCAGTCACACTTTAAAGTATATAAGGTACTCTTCTTTTACGCATGCTTTTCTGGTGTTAACTGGCAGCACTCTCGACGCGTATTCCGGATTTCCAGAGTTCGAATCTCGTAGATGTCACTGCACACTTTTCATGCTCCTGTATTGATATAACCTGAAGATTCAATATCATTATTAGTTAAGTATATCATGAATTATATAAAATAGACAGGTTTTGTATTACATCAGCTTACAGAATTACACAAAGTATAAAAAAACAAACAAAAAAAGATTAAAAAATAAGTATATCACTTCTGAACTGATCATTTAAAAAAATTATAATTTTGAAATTAATTAAAAATCCTGTGTTAAGTCGAATATTAGAACTGCTCCAAACGCACAGTATCTGAATTCGCATAGAGAACAAATTAAAGATCTTATTCTGTGTGGCTTGGAGACACTTGCCAAACAGAATGGATCATAAATGCCCTGATGATATAACATAACGAAGTATAACTGGACTTAAATGAGTAATAATACTACATTATAGACGTTTATAACATCAGAAACTTCAAGATATATGTACGTTGTTTATATATCTTCTAAATCGCTCCTTTTGTTACACTTATACGGTATTTCTCCCACCTTCTTAGCGTGCCCTCGTGGTGTGGTAGTCTGCACGCTGGGCGCGTATTTCCAGAGGTCCGTGGTTCAATTCCCGATGAAGGCGTCGCTAATTTTTCAATTCTTCTGCTTTCAAAAAATACCTAATGTCTCTACACATTTTGTGCAATGTATTGTTATGATCCACAACATAAATAAAAAATTTTCTCCCTCAAGAGTAGCAACCATCTTAGAAGCTTGCTGAAAAAGAAATTGGAGATCTTCTACTGTAAGGCTAGTATCAACTGTAAGACTTGTTAACCTGTTAGCCTGCGTGGATGATGAATGCCGTGGAAGCGTAACATAAATTAAGAATGCAGAAATCACTTGTATTCTTCATATAATGTATATGTTTTTGCCTTTAAATAATCGCAAAATGAAATAAAAATGATTAAAAAATTTGAGGTGTATGGCCTTCGGACTCATTGATTAAATATTATTTTTTGTACCACTTTAGTTGAACTAAATAGGCTTTTAAGCAGAAATGGTTTTTCCTATCTATGCACTTTATGTGATCTTTCTGAATCTTTCTCCAATCTTTGAATTATTCCATTTCTCTTCATGTACACGACTCTGAATATCACATAATTGTTAAAAGAGTACTATCGTACAAATTTGCATAGTACTAGAACATCCTCATCATCATCGACATTAGTTCTGTAGTAACCTTCTCTTTTCCTACAATCTAGGTAATGAAAGCCAAAGAATTGAGTATTGACAGAAACTTATTTTTATAGATTATTGAAGAATATTACTATACACTGTAGAGTTCCTCACTTTGAGATGTTGAGTTACTGTTGAACTGAAGAACGTGAAGGTTTTTCCTTTGCTTCATTATTATTATCACTTATGTACGTATTGATAATTATTTATTAAATAAAAGTTAATGTTTAGTTAAAATAAAAAAAATTCATTTTGGTATTCAAAAAAACCGATATTCGACTAGCACAGAATTTGAGTTTGAGACTACTGATGTGTATAATAATAATGGAATAGAACTAGACATACATTTAATGAAAGAGCGAAGAATTTTACCTTAAATGATTCGCACAGGTTTTGTCTGGTAGTTACTTCGTAATCTTTGAACTTGAAATTCTACCGTAAATGATTCATACGCGTGTATCATAAATGATTCTCTACTTATTTTTCATCACTGTACATTATTATTAATTGTATTTGCCTATTGCAATATATATACCAGCTTAATTAAGTAGTACTACTTATGCGTTTCGTATTTGTAATTGCGTCTGTTCTATTATCTTTTCCCTTTTTATCTTTTACTTCTTATCTAAAACGGTTATTTTTTTCGTCACAGATAATATTTGTATATTTCCAACTTTGAAAACTTCACAGTTTTCCTATATTTTAAACATCTTCTATTTCGTTTTTATTAAAAAAGTTGTCGATTATATCATTATTTCATACCGAACTCATAATATCTCCAAACTGATTTGAGCAGTGTATTATGACGTAAACTTGCATTGCTGTAGTTTTATTATGTATTAATTTTTAGAATTTGTTGCAAATTTAATTTCATGTATTGAACCTTTTATAGATTTCTGAATCTGTGCCATGCTGTTAAAAGTTTTGTTTAACTATCAGTTTTTTATTTGTATATTAAACCTGCGTAAATTTCCTCTATTTATTAGCCTATCTATCTACTTATCTGTCTGTTTGTTTATCGCTCTTTATTTATATATCTATCTATTTGTCTCCATGTCAATATGTTCGTATGTCTATCTATCTCTTCTCTCTGTATGACTGCTTATCTATTTATCTGTCTGTCTAGCTATTCATGTCTCTGTATGTCTGCCTATTTGTCTCATTTTCCTGTATGTCTGCCTATCTGTTACTAATCTGTATGATTTGTCAGTCTTTCTGTAGTTCTGTCTGCCTGTCCTGCCAAACAAGGCAAACAGACAGAGAGGACAAATATGTTGGTTTGTCCTCTCTGTCTGTCTATCTGTCTATCAATTTATCTATGTTAGGTGTAGACAAAAGCCGGCCCGCGGGCTTAAAGGGGGCTGTCTAATTTTTAATCCGGCTCATTACAAAATTCCACGCAACAATATTTTCATCTCTTTCCTACCCGATTTTGTACGAAAACAACTGAAATCAACAGGACGAGTACGCTTCTGTTATTACAGTGTATATGCACATAAATATTCATGATTATACTAACACTCAACCTAAGCTAAGAGCTCTATATACGCCAGAAAGCATGTGTATCCACCGAATAATACAATCTTATCATTTTTAGTAGCTTTAATTTAAAAATGAAATAAACTAATATGAATATTGTTGAGATAAAATAACTGGTAGAAATGAAACAGATAGGGAAAGAATATTTCACTTCTAAATTTTTATTTGAAAATGAAATAGAATGCATATCAGTCATTTGATGAGAAATAGAAACAAATCCCGTTTTTAGCGTATTTTTAGTTTTTTAAATTGTAATTTTAATTTTTATTTCTTTGCACAAAATAAAGGAAATATTGTAATCGTGAAAATTTTCGGAGATAGCATTTCAATGAAAATATTCAATTTGAACATTCCCGAATCCATTAGAAAGACTTTTTTTGTGATGTCTGTATGTACGGATATAATAAAGGCCTCCCGTTTTTTCGAAAACGGATTTAAATGGATCCATAAGGGATTTTTTCGTGTCGTCTTGTATGTATGTATCTGGCATAACTCAAAAACGATTAGCCTTAGAACGTAGAAAATTTCTATATGGTATTATTATAATATCTTATTGTGTATCTTCCTTTTTTATTGCAACCGCGAGTGCCAAAAGTGTATATATATATATACTTACCGTATATCCAACTTAAACATCATTATTACCTGGCTTTAGTTTTTGTAATCGTTGGTTATAATCATATACTTCTAGTTATAGAAGTACTTTAAAAGACGAAAATATTTACGTTTTGGCAAATTAAAAAAAAGTTAATTATAGACAAATAACATAATTTAATATAATGCTCTCTCTCGGTTTCTGTACTTACATTTGGCAAAGTTTCCGACTCGTTATGAAAAAAATTAAATTATAAATTAACTCCTGTACGAAAAAAATTGACCGGGACATTTAATTTCAAAATTTGCAACTTTTGAAGTCGTTTTCAACTTACCTTGAGGAATTGGTAATTTGAATAATTTGAGGAAATAAGCTAAAATAAAGAGCAACAAAGAATGTGTATAATTTAATAGGCTGTACAAGGAAGTCATGTGGTGTCCACAATCCGGTAGAATGTGTGTGTCCGGTGAGCGGTGCTTGCTGTCCTCCTCCCATTGCACTTGCAAACAGCAGGGGGTACTACAAAAGATCATCATGGCTTTGCCTGCATGATGCACTGAAAGGAACATTTTGGCCCACGGTTAAAAATATTTGCTCCCGCAATCAATACCCATATTGGCCAAGTACGAAGTTCTTTGCTGGTGTTTAACTGAAATATCCGTATAACTACATTAGTAAGCATTTGCATATGTGTTGTAATCAAAATAATTAAATCAACGATTATGCATAATCTCCAACCAACCTAGTGAGGCTGAATTTCATTAAATAGTACTTCGCTTTCATCAACGACGGTGTTTAATTTCTGAATGGAATTGTTAAATATGCTAATTTAATCAGAATTGAATCAGAATCACTTTTATGAGCCAGTTATGGATAATTCGAAAATAAATTTTCACATTTTGTTAGACATTATGCGTAACAAAACGAGGTACGATTAATCATACACTGGTGGAAAATGAAGTTTTAAACCTGCCTGCCAAATTTTGTTTATCTAGCAAGTTTATCTACGCTTCTGGGTTTTGTTCTTTTTAGCGTCTCATTTTAATGTCGTAATGTAACAACGATTTGCCATTTAAAAACTATTTAGTTTAGAAACTATTTAGTTTTAGTATCAGTGAGAACATACGTTGAAGCCAGAAACAGTGTTGTGCATCTGTGTTTTATTAAATGTATGTAAATATAACGGAAGAAATTATTCTAAATTTATCATAACTGAATAATGTTTATTACTGTATGCTTAGAAACACTGCTAAAATATTAATGAAGCACTGAAGATTTTTATAGGGTGACCCTCAAACGATTATTCTGTAAAGGAAATATATAAACGGATACAGGAAGACTTCTGTTATTAATTAGCTCTGATGGTAGGATTATAGTGAAAATTACCTACTGAATATGTCGTAAATTAACATTTCGATGTTATTAAAAAATTTAAGGCAGAGAAAGTTATTAAGAAATATCTGTCTGTCTATATGAGATTTGCTACTGGTCTTCAAATACGGAATTGCCTCTCTCTCTCATTCTAATATATATAAATAATTACAAAACTATTTTTTTAAAACAAAATATAAACCTGCCTAATAATACACAGACTAGTCTCTCAAACAATTTTGTCGATAAAAAATACACTTATGTCCATAAATTAAGGATAATTCGGAGTCACGCGGAAATCGAACTCTAAAATAAATATATCACCTGTAAAATCACTACACATATCTTCAAGAATCATATGCAAATTTCAGGAAGTAACAGATGACACCGACGGTACATCACAATGACGAGAGTGTAAGAGAGTGATATATAAGGAATACAGGCAAAGAAGTAAAATTGTTCGCACGCGCTTTATAAGCATTTCAGTTCAATAACCGAATAGTTATGACACAAAGGACGCATTTGGATGATTTTTTACGTGGTAGAATTATCGGCCGTCTGGAATGTGGACGTACCCAACTGGAAGTATCAGACGAACTTGGAATTGCCCAGAGTGTCATCTCCAGGCTTTGGCAACGATTCCAAGATGATGGTAATGTGAGTAGACGTTACAGCACAGGTCGCCCCAGAGTTACAACGCCGAATGAGGACCGGTATTTGGCAGTTACTGCCAAAATACTCGTACACAGGCGGAGCACAGCCTCAGACCTGTCTCGTCAGCTCTCTTCAGCCACTGGTACGAAAATTTCAAGGCAGACCGTGTACAAACGCTTAGGGCAGATTGGTCTATATGCTCGTAGACCTGTCAGATGCGTTCCACTTACTGCAACTCACTGTCGCCTGCGGTTAGCCTGGAGTAGAGAGCATGCATTGTGGACACCGCAACAGTGGGCTTGCGTGATGTTTTCCGACGAGTTCAGGTTTAGCTTGCAGTCTGATTCTCGCCGGACTTTCATATGGAGAGCTCCAGGTACCCGTTACCACCAAGAAAACATCACTGAACGACACCGTTATTACGGTGGTGCAAGAGTGCTCGTTTGGGGTGGAATTATTCTGGGTTCCAGAACTGACCTGCGTGTTCAAACTGGAACCATGACAAGCCAAATCTATCGGGACGTCATTCTGGAACATCATGTACGTTAGTTTCGGGGCGCCATGGGCGCACAATTTGTGTTTATGGATGACAACGGCCGTCCTCACCGTGCAAACATCGTAAGCGAATGCCTTCAATCGGAGGATATCACCCGTATGGACTGGCCAGCATTCTCACCGGACTTGAATCCAGTAGAGCACGTGTGGGACATGCTTGGCCGACGAGTTGCAGCCCGTCAACCTCCTCCTACATGTCTACCCGGAACTTCGGAGAGCATTGCTTTTTGAGTGGTGTAGTATCCCCCAAGATCAGATCGATAATTTGATACTCAGCATGCCTAGGCGTTGTACGGACCGTATTGCATCGTCTGGGAGACATACAATGTATTAACTAGCACACGAACCATGTAATATTGTTTTTTTTTTGTAAATAGGCTTTTTTTTTTTTTTTTTTTTTTTGTAGTAATTTGCTCCTGGGAGAAAAGATCGCTAATTTTTTTAAAGATATCAAACATATAGGATCTTGTTTTGCTCTTTACCTTTTGTTTAATAAATAAGCTTTACAAATAAGTCAAATTTGTTTTGCTTCTAATTCTTCCTTTGCCTGATTTTGCATTATCCTTAATTTATGGACATGAGTGTATTTTACTATCTATAGCTTGGATGACAAATTAGCGATCATATGTAAGCAAGGATTAATAACGCTTCTTAAAGATCTCAGTCTGCCAAACCGCATGGTTGGTTAATGTACTGGTAGCGTAACGTAAGGGGAGAAAAATATTAATAAATTAAGTTTTAGACATCAAAATGTGATATCAAAATTGTGCAGTAAATTTCTT